ATATATGAATCTTGTTGGCTTCCTCAGATATCTGTCCGAAAATGTTAATGAAAAGGGCTTACAATTACACTGGAACTTCTGTAATTAATAACTTTATATGATTGCTCATAATTCGTATGTTTAAGCTGAATAAAGCGATAGTTGTACAATAAGGTAGATAACATCGCTTACACTGAAACCACTCAAAGATACCAAAATACTGCGTTCGTGCCTTCCGCAAATGCCGACGCTCGCCAATCTCGATGTGTTAATATTATTTACGACTCTCCGTACTTTCGTAATTACGGTCTCGGATCACATCAAATCTTCAAACGTGCGAACATTTAGACGAAAATAATACTATCGCTATTGAAATATCCCTATAACAAGCTAATATTATAATAATTCACACGGTATTTCACGCTGGAAATCAATGTTGACGCATGTGATACAGGAATCATGAACATTGATTTGGAAATAATTTGGTGTGATTTACGGTTGTTTATGTGAAGAATTTCATTGATATTTTTATATAAATAGGTATACATATACATACATATATTTTGAAATTGTATTAAAATAAAACATTGCAGTTTAAGCATTTAACTTTTAACATCGTTGAAACGAAATACGTTTTCAATTTTCATAGCTTGAATTACCAAAGGTAGTATACAAAGTTAATAAAGAAAATCATACTTGTCAGATAGTATCTTTCACAATAAATCCATATAGTTTAAAAGCAACAAAAGCCATACAGATGTCGAAAGTAATTTGCGATACATAGTAAGAATTAATCGTAAATATAATAACGTAAAGAGAGGTTATGATGATCACGTACATGGAAAAGGCTGCACCTGTGTGTTATTGTGAGGTTGTAAACTATTGTAACAGTCGTATCTAATTTTCGTATGAGGTCAATAATTTTAACACGGGCTATCCTCTCATCTCCCTCGAACATACAAGCCAGGCATAACAAACCAAGCAATGGAATGCTTAAAAACTTATTTGATCTCTGAATTATTTCACAGTAATATATTTATATTATCAGCTAGCAAATTGATATCAGAAATCACATGTATTAATAGCAGAACTTTCTCTACAACACGACATTTGCGAATGCGGAGGACATTACTCATCTAAGTATTGTCCGCTGCGACCAGCTGTAAGATTAAGATATGTCCTTAACGGTAAAGCTGGGCCCACACGGAATAAGGCCACCATCAATAACCAGACATGCCACAAGAGGCCTTCACTACACCATAATGCATTGACAGCAACAAATAAAAATGTATTACTATCACAAAGATATCGTATCATCATACTGGTAATATAGCGTACAGCTTGTGTCTTATATAAAATATGACAGGAATTAATGTTTAAATACAATAATTTTAAAACAGCTACCTTATTATACTTGTAGTTAAATTCTGTGCGTGTATGTCCTGGCTATGTTTGTACTTAATCGTCCGTGAACAGTCATCCTTTAAGCATCTAGCTGTGCGGGCGACTAACTGACTTGGACTGAGTTCAACATGTAAACCCTATTTTATCATTGTCCGGCATTGTTAATGTAGTTAATATGATAAAAAATATTTTAACATCATACGTTGTACTTGATCAGAACATTGTTGTATAACTTCGATATTAAATATGTATATGGTTGATAAAAAACAACAAAGCTTAGATTCATGTACGAATTATGAATCAAATTCACATTGGAGGGACGGAAATATCGATAATTGTCGATAACAATCGCCGATGATGCTCACTGGATGGCCGTGCTGCAGTATACAAATTGAGGCCTCATCCACGCAGCGGGGAATCTATTAAAGATATGTAATAAAAAGAGATAAATCATGTACGAATTTGAAAACATTTGTACCTATAGAATTTTAATTTCGTTGTATCGATCGCTTTTTTATATTATTATTTAGATTAAAAAATATCTATGAGAAAGAAAATTGTCATAATTTTTTTATGAAGAGAATTTTTCAACGTTAAACTCAAAGTATTGTTATAAATATCCAATAACATTCATTACATAAACTACATTAAAGATATCAATTTACTGACATAATACCCATAAAGAGGCGAAGCTCAATTTTTGCAGCTATCAAGAACATTCTCATACATTACAGACTTAAATTAACATCAGATAACAAGAAGGTAAGTGAAATCGATTATCTATAAATCAACTGGTGTTTCCATTCAAATTACTCACAATAGATGAAATGATCCCGCAAAAACATCATAGTGCGAAGCATGACAATCAAAACACGTTGACCTTTTAGTGTAACGTCCACTATTAAAAAATTATTTCCAGTGCCCCGACAACTTACAGTTATACAGATAGGTAACGCTGATGAACCAGCGATGTCAGTGACGGCATTCAATACTCACAATAGGCCGCTCTAATAACGAAAGAGTATTACATGGCTTAGAAATATTCAATTATCTTTGCTATTGAAAAAAGCGATCGATTCGAAATGGATTCAGTTATAATTGATTATCTGCATACATTAATTTATAATAACTTCTTTATAACAAAACACTGTATGATACTCGAGAAATGTACTTAGGAGAATTCCACGCGATATTAATGACGCAATTCTGATACACTCACTTCACTCTCGGAACATCAAGCGGCAATCAACGTGGAACGGGTTCAAACTTATTCTGAAGATTTAATTGCAATCGTAATAACAACGAAAATGTCAAAATAATAACACAAAACGAATGAAGACAAAGTCAAACGCAACGAAGAGGTTTTTAAACTAAAAATAATGACCGGCCAGCTCATGCGTTGTAATACATTAATAATAGTTTTATAAGCAACCAAAATGACCCATAATCATATGAGATAGAAAATTGTTTTCAAAATAATGCCGAGGAGGAAAAAAATTGATGATGGTTCGCATTATACGCGGTTTGATGAGTCGAAAAAGTGGCAAAACGAAATTCGGTTGATGCGTAAGCGAGAGGCAAAATATTATGTTGTAAGTTTTCTTTGATTAGCACTCGAGACAATCAGAAGGTGCAACGAACTCTGACGCTCGAATAAAAACACCTGCTATTTAGACATTACGACAGAATAGTAAACAATGAAGGATGACGACTGTCAATGTAGATACTGTTCACTAAACAAAGGCACGAGGTAAACGCATAGTAACTATCAAAACGAACATGTTCAAGCCGAAAAATATATAAAAACAACATAAACAAAAAATAAACTTGATAAAAGAAATTAGCAAATCCAATATACGTTTCGGAAACTGACGGCTTCATATTCATAACACGGCACAAACAGTTCGCAAATTGATTAACAAAGCACTCGGCCTGAAGAGGTCGGGATTTGGTAACTGGGAGAATAATTATTTTGATCCAAAACAGACGTTTTGACAAGTGAGTACTAGTGTTGTGCTGGAACGGAATTTATCGATAAAACATTTATTAAAACGAAATACAAATAGCTATTATCATGACATAACTATGAAATATATAAAAAAAACTTTGTTTGTTTAAAGAATAATACAATTAAATATATTAAAAGTATTCTTATATTAATATATGTTTACAAAATTAAGAATTGAAATCTGGTTAATGAAAGCCTGTCATCCCAAAGTACGAATACTATATATGGCTCGTATTTTCTGAAATATATACTCCATTTTATTCTCAGCATTGAATTCGACTCACGATATTCGATAGGAATACAATACATCACTGATTTGATAAATGAACATCCAAAAATTGCATGTCAAGAGGCAACTGGCTCTGTTTCGCCTTTACATTTTAATACGCACGTCAACTGGAGGGGGCCTTTTAGCCCATCACCGAAAGCAATGTTAAACGAAAGCGGTTGATAATCAATTCTTCGTTATTAAAATTAAATATATAATGTATGTATTAACCAAAAAGAGGATTTTATCAAACTCGTATTGATTTTATACTCTTGATAAATATAAAGGAAACTATTCATTAAATGTGTATCATAATTTTTAATAAGTTTCATATAATTTATCTACATTCATAATTTCAATTAATATGTATAAAGATGATTGAAGGTTTATTTTTTACAAGTAATAACCAATACTAATATCTCGAATGCAATCTAAAATTATTTCATAAGGTATACAGTAAAGTTTCCGAGAAGGTACGTGAAGGAAAGGCAATTTGCTGCATCCAGAGTTTAATACGTCTTGACTCATGCGCCTGCGCACCCGACTCGCAGCTTTAATTAAAAACGGTATACGAAGGGATGTTTAGCCTGCTTATGTATATTTTAATAATTATTAATCACATTTTAACCATGTGATTTTACTTTAAATTTACGACCTCATTTTTGAGATTAGTTATTTTGAGTTTTAATCTTTTTTTTTAAACGTTTCCTTTTATTGCATCCAGACTTTACTTTTAATATATTTTTGATAAAACTAACGGTGTTTGATCTAAATTATTATACATTCTGATACCTTTGACATTAAATTAAGAAGACTTATATAAAAAATAACTTATTCGATTATCAGTATAAGTCAAAAGATAATTTTCCACGCCATACCTGTTTATACTTGTCGCTGAATAATCTGGTGTAATATCCCTTTCACTTAATTACAAGGAAGTGTACAATTATTCACTTATCTCCTTACAAATTGCGGCATTTTGTAGCTTAAGATAAAGATATTATGACGAGTTGAACTCTTTCTGATCGAAAAGGAGAAAATTTTATAGCAGCACATCAACAGTTATATGATGGTCATAAATAATTCAGAAGGGTGAATAATAGTTTAGAACAAAGCACATGATATGTACATAATATGTTAAAACATCTAGTTTACTGCCACGTATTGAAACTGACAATTTAATTTCAATATAAGGCCGCATAACCAAGTTTCTAGTACAGCTAATACCGGTAATGCGGTGGAATTATTAATACGGACGTTATATGAAAGATAAGATAAATAAGATGAATGACGTTATGTATTTTTTCATTCATTCATCATTCATTCTTATCATTAACTTAACTAAGCCCTTAACTTAACACATTTCGGCTGACGGAAACCTCTGTTATCTTGGGATGCGATTTCTAATCTCGGATACGCGATGAAACTCGAATCGACTTCGATTGGTATCGATACTCCATTACTCGATAACAAGTTACCGATACGCATACCTAACACCTGTCTAGCTATTTTATTGCGCTCGTCCCTAATAGCACGGGATAGGAGCTGAAGAATTAATGGGGTATTCAGAGTGTATATGGTTCTTGCCCTTCTATTTGATATCACCTTTCCAGATATTTACCTAGTGTTGTTTTAAACTATATTTCCTATACAAATCATGATTCATTTGAATCGAACAGCTGATGTATATAACATCAGGTCACTAATGTTCTCATACATCCATTCTCAATTCTCCCTTTCCCTTATCTTTTTCAAAGATACTATCTCTCAGACGAAGTATGCATTTAACCAAATGGTATTCAGCTCGGTATCTTTATGAATAGAAACACAGCGCATTAAGATAGCGTAAATCTATAATAATTTGAATTTTATTCAATACGTATAAATAAATCTTATAATATTAACTTTATATCAGAGAAGTTAAGGTCCAGAATTAATTGTGATGGCGTAAAGTTTACGAAACTTGCGTAAAGGTATGTCCTATTGCGCTGATTTATGCAATCCTCCCTTACTCTAATATAAATACATTTAATTGCACAATTAATTTGCTTCAATATTACATCTAATACTGTTAATATTATACATTTGTATGTAGTTCATTGTTCAATATTATGTTTTAGCTTGCACTGGTTTAAACTTAAGGCATAAAAATGCGGATGTAACTCCAGACTCAATATTACACATAACACAAGTTTTACAAAAACCTAACACAAATATCTTCAAACTAAAATGGAATCTGATGCGTACATCATACGGTTTAAATTGTAATAGTTTTCTATTCACCTTTCACAGTCGTACCAGTCTTGTACGGTTTTCTAGTTAATATCCATTATAGCTTTCTCAATAAATTTATCCCATTACAGGTACAAGAAGCAGATGCCAAGAATCTGTAGTCGATGATAAATCATACAAATGTCAATCATTCTATTAACTGTGAGAATCGGTTATTGGTTAAACATGTTATAAACGTTCCGTGCACTTTAACCAGAGTATAATTATAATTATATATTCTATTTAACAAACATATTAATATATATATATATATATATATATACAACAAAATATACATTATATTATAAGGCATCTATTTATTAAGAGATACTTATATAAAACGTTTTCTTAAATATTTCATTCAAGGTTATCAGCTGTAATAAAAATCATATCTGTATAAATTTCAGAAATTTTATGATCCACAAATTACTGACGGCGGTAAAGTTGAAAACAATTAGCGAAGTATTCAGCACCTGACGCTGTCTGCGACCTACTTTAACAGATTTATTACGATAAGATTTAACACTAATAGCGTCATTGTTGTGTTAAAACTTAAAATTAATAGCCATCCGACAAAATTAGACGCGGAAAGTTTTGGTCGTTAATACACCTATTAGTTACTTCTGGATCTCTTGTCAATCCGTCAAATCATTGTATGTATCAATTGTTTAGATAAAATATAACATAATATTAATAATATGCTTGTAATTTTTGCCATTTTTTTTGACTAAAACTCTTATTCAATAAGAATGTTTCTTTTCCCAAAAGAACAATACTTCTTAAACAACAAGACGTTTTTCATACAGATATTACAAATTTTTATTTTACTGTGGAGTAAAATATTTGTAGTAGTTAATAAATACTTAATATTAAGTATAATTTTATATAGTTTCATATTACTCAACTCACAGAATTTAACACAAATACCAGAGTCAAAAAACATGCTGTTTAGTTATCAACAGATATTTTATATCTACATTGTTAATGTTCTTGTTACACATTTAGTCTTATCGTTGGCCTTATAAGTTGAAGGAACAGAGTTATTACAACCCTATCTTAAAATACTAAGGACCAAGTACGATTTACGTTTCTATTTGTAGCAAATATTTCATATAAATATTAATATAATTTACCAAATATACTTACAGTAAGGCGTTTTGCTTATTAAGAAACAATTTTCAAGCAGAATATAATCAATTTTGTAATATATTATTTTTTGAAATCAAAAACTGAAATACTATGAAAAAAAAACATTAAACATTCTGTTTTTATTTCTTACTCTAGATTCTAGTGTATAATAGTTCAAATGGAATTGAATGTTAATTGAAAGAACAATTTGATGCTATTTAGTACATTAGCTAAACGTTGCATTAAATTAAACAGCTAGCTCCCCAATCATTAATACATTTGCCAGGTATTGTGAAAACACAATTTCATCCCATATTACTATGCTATTTAAAAACGATGTCTCATCGTGCAAGATTGCCAGTAAATCGGCGTGAAATAACAATTTTTTTAGGCAAACATCCTTTGTGCTCCGATTTTCAACATTGCTAAAAGACACAAAAAAAAATCGGGCGTGCCCATCAACAAAGAAAATATATATTCTATAAGAGATTTATTACAAAAACTATAAAAGATCATTGATTATAATTCAACCTCGCAAAAAGTGGTCCATATTTGTCTACCTATTAAAATTGGAATGACTTATTTGACTCGGTTCAAACAGACCTTTCGGAAATTATGATTTCATTAATCAATAATTTTACCGCTATCAATTAAAATTAACTATCTCCAATGACATGGTTCCGAAAATTTTCCTCTAATATTTTTTTTATCGTAAAAAATTTCATATTTATTATTTTATAGCGTTATTTTTACGCTGTTTTAATGGAGAAATTCCATAAAATATTTGCTTTAGAACCAAATCGTAATCTGGTATCTAATATTTCTTAGGCATAGGTCGTAAAAAACGCTTCTAGCTTTCAGTGAAAGTACTTCTACCATTAAAATACCTTTAGTCCACAGAGTAAGACCGACGAAACATTTTACAACGTGTTGTTTAAGTAGATATCATATAAATAACTGTTAGCACTTTAGAAATCATAGTTACTTTGAAATCAGAAGTAGACATTAAAATTTTATCTATGTATATCTATATTTATATAGGCCACGGTATACGTAAAAAAAATATCTTAGATATCAAAAATCCAAGTCCGTTTTCGTTTCATCGTATACATTGTTCTGTTTCATTTCGATTCCTTTTTTTTATGTCATAAACATTTATTATAGCTATGAAGCTTTCTAATATACATTTTTCTCAGAAAATATTTCACCCCATTCCTCACAAGCAAGATATCTACGACCTGGTAGTTTATACTAAATTAATCTTAGCTCGTTGACCCACTGGTGATGTGATCCAATTCATTCGCCAGCCGGTCTTCAAATCCAACAACAGTCTCGAGACCAATTTGAATAGTGGACGGATTTGATCGTTGATTGATTCGTGTTAATTGGAATCTAACTTTTATTAAAAGAACCCAGTTAGTAGATTGGTTACAGTTATATATAATATTTTTACGAGTTCGTGAATTAGACCACACAGATAAAAATTTTCAATAGTACATATTTTTAGTGTTATAACAATTTTCTGTTATTTCATTCACAGCATAAACGAGAACATATAATGATTGAAATACAATTTATAGCCAATTAGATGTAGAACTGATACAGGCGTCCGTTTTTGCGCAACCATTGATGTAAGGCCGTGTTTACATAGACTTAATATAAAGCAGGAGACACACCATGCTTGTAAAGGCGATAATAATAAAGACAATTAAATAATGATTGTTATATTACTTCAGAAATGATATCGATGTGAATAGCTTTGTTTTGGATTACGTAAAATAAATTCTAGTACCTTTTAAGTGTACATATTTTCAAGTTGTATTTAAATGAATAAGCTATGTAAGCGCCGTCGTCTGTGACGCAAGCCGGCTTGTATACACATTACTGAGTTAAGTCTTATTACAACCAGATAATTTACACTGAAGCTTATCAAGTAGTGCAAATAAACATGAATTTTCGCAACGATACGTCAAACACTATTAAATATAACACGGTCTATTTTTGTCGGCTTGTATGTTGCAATTACGCACTACATAGGTGCTGTTTTGGAGGGCATAAATTTACACCTGTCTTGTTAATATTAAGAATAAAATTACGGACAGACAGAACTGCTTACTTTACCAGCAGGAAGTTTCCTTTTGAATTATATTAAGAATTCATATGTTCCCTTTATTCAATTATTCCAAAGTATATTAATGTATGAAGGTGTCATCGGTAATTGGTTATGAAAAATTCAGTGCCGATGTAAGAAAGATCAATCATTACTTAACAGTAGGATCTATTCCTTAGTACCGTTGGAAAAACAAGTTCACCTGTAAATGATAGCGATCATAAATAGCTGGCTCGGTATGTTGATGGTCCTGTGATGGCAGAGTCTAAAACATCTTGATATCATCTGAGATAAAAGAAGGAAGTCCTTATTATGGCAGGAGCTTTTGATCTTCCCACGAGGTTATGATACATTCCATACAAGAATAACTAGTAGCTTCATTAAGTTTTAACATAAAGAAATATCCTGTCTAACACCCTGTATAATAACAACTCAGTTTAGACCAGGTTAGCAGCGAGACAGTGATGTCATATTTAGATAAGGCGACTTAAAACTATGCTTTCTTCTTAAAACGATCGCATGTGATATGCTTTAATTCAAGGTCTTTTTATAGAACAAATTAAAAAGTCACAAACAAAACAATAAGTCGAATATAAAGCACTTTCCCGAAGCGAATGCTAATTATCTCGTTACGTTGTATACATTTAGTGTCGATAGTTAGTCGGAATGTGACGATCTTATCTTTGAATAATGACATAATGAGACAAACGAACTCAAGTAGACATGACGTTACTATAATTGGTTGTAATTCTGCAAACGAGATGCACGCTTCGGATTAAAAATATGTATATAAGAACACGTCGACGTCTATTAAGATTCTTGAATATTATATACATAATTTTGCATTTTATTATAATTGCAAAAAATATGATGATTTGCCAACGCTTCAAGTCATTGGTAGATATGTCGAAAGGTTCGATAATTAGCATTTTTTTTCCTTAATTTTTTTGTTAATTGAAAAAATTTCCACTATGATATCCTGTATAAAAAATTAAAGATATTAAAATAACTTAATTGAATAAAAAAAATTAAACTCAAAAATATATTAGGCGTTAAAAAAATTACTCGTTCTGAACACGTAATGCAATATTAAGTTTGTTCAACGACTAGTAAGAGTAACAAGTTACATTTGACGATCAACTTCAATGAATTGACAGATGAACCGATTTTATTACATGCCCGAAAAGGAAATCCCCGGTACAGATATGTATTACATCCGATAGTTTTTCTTATTAATAGAACTAATGTAGAACTATTAATTCTTATTTGTCTGCACTACTTCTAGTCTGCTACTTCTTACGAGTAAGTCTCAAAACTTCATAAATAACAGTAAAATATTTTAATTACATTTAGGTAATTTCAAAGAAATGCTTTGAAGTTAATTTGTTCGTTATAAATTACGTAAAAGAAGGGATAAAATATTTATCGTCCTTATTAAATTTATACACAGCGTAAGTGAAAACGCTTACGTACATCGAATTCAATATCGCAGCCAACTTTCATAGTTAACCTTTAACTAAGTTATAGATAACCCAGCCATATCGAAACAGCTTAAACGTGTAATTTAACGCAAAATTCATATATTAAGATAAAACATAAAATCATTTGATATATTATAACTTTATTATCTTACACAACTAATATTTATTATTTATTGTATATAACTTACGAGTTACAGACATTTATTTTAAGTTAACTTTTAAGTCGTGTACACAAAATGAAGAACGTTTAAAACAGATTGCAAAACGACACTCATGTGGCCTACGCCTTTGAGCCAACTTTCGCAAGATGATTTACAATAATCGCTGAAGTAGTAAATTAGAGTCCTATTTACTGCGTAGACGCAGTCTTCCTGTGTGACCTCAGCTTTCACTAGCTACCAGCAGGTCTCAGAAGATTCTATCTCAGATTCACAAATTATATAAATACCACTGCAATAGCAGCGGCCATTTAATTAGTTATAAATATCTTGTTAGTTCCATTTCGCTTCTTCATTCTTTTCAATTTTATTTATCGCCTACATATACTAAATGAACACACAATATCATGTTTAATATATACAACTCACGCTTGTTCTGTTCTGTTATTTCAATGACTGATGAAATTTTAAATGTCACGGGAACCCACTGACACTTTTACTTTTGACAGCACGAAAGCATATGTCATTGGTTAATTTATTTGAATACGTAAGAAATGATATGTTTCTTCTAATATATTTAAAATATTATTTATGCATCTGAACTGGAATGACGAGATATGTCACGTTAACACCTCGAAAGGTCAAATACGCGCTTCATTTTTATTTCTTGTGATTTTATTAATAACACAATGAACATTGATTATTTATCTGTCATCAACTATGAAATTATGATTTTATATAGCACTTTAGATTCCATCTGCACCATTATTCCTCGGCATCGGATTGGTCGATTGACTCTTAAGATTAAAATGACTACATTATAATTAAAATAATTTAATAAAATCTTTTAAGGCTGTAATTCTATTCAAATGTCAACGAGGATATGGTGGTTATTTAGACAATATAATATTTTTTTTCCTGTTAATGACGAATGTAATAAAATATACGAAAATATTGTGGGGTATATATAACGCACTATTGACCGGGGTAACTTGAGATAGTATTATTTTTAAATCTCACTTGATATATAATGGCGTAATATACATAGATATACAACATGGGCTGGCTCGACAGGGGAAGTACCACCCTCTCACAGAAGATAGGCGTGAAGTAGTCTTTAATGGCTGCGTTTCGTCCGATGAGTGAGGGAGAAAGTTGCCCTTCCCTGTAACCACCCTTTCCTGCAATTTCCTTATTCCCAGCCCTCCCTCTTCATCAACAATCAAGGTTGGCAACGAATCCGCAACATCCCTTATGTTGCAGATGCCCACGGGCAGCATTGCGTGCTGAATCAAGTAAGTCGTCTGCTCGTTTACCAGCTTTGTCATAAAAATACATTACTCGAAGCAATAATAAAATTTAATTGAATTCATCTATTAAAATGCCATTATATTGATATGCAATATTAATATGAATGATTATTCGACGACCGGCAATGTTATAATAAGTTTCAAATATTTATTTTGTTGTTCAACAAAACATCTTTGCTTACACCGTATGTGGTCCTATGCACGAGCCTCAAAGCCATTGTTGGCAATAAAACAGCGAATTATGCTATTGCACGTTATACCCCACTGAATATTTATCACCGATGGTGTTTAGAATTCACACAGATATGCTATCTATCTAACGACTTTTGATTATATTTGTAATGAAAAACTCATGCAAGTTGAAACCATACTTTATAAAGTGTTTTGATGGTGATATTTTTAGATGTACTGATAACGCTCCCTGTCACCTGTCAAGCGCTGGTCCTAATTTACCGTCAATCAGTTTATCCAGTCATTGTTAAAACTGACAGTTTTTAATGCAGTCTTAGGATTACGTCAGCGTATGCATTATGCATCGCGTTATGGCCATTGTTTGAAGTACAATCGTATACAGAAAACATTATTCCATTGTAGAGTTTATTATTATTAAATTAAAAATATATATTAATTTTTAATTTGATTGAAATTATAGATCTTTTAATAGCTTTAGAATTTGTTACAGATATAAAAATTGATGGGAAGTGAGTTCAATTCTGGCTAAAGTCTCATTCTAAAAATGACTTGTCTTTAGTTAACTTTGCTTCTATCTCAGTATTTTTGTAACAAACAAACTATATGTATATATGTAATGAATGCTTTGTATGCCATTCACTATTATCCGTCCACTTAACTTGTAGGCTGTGTACGATCAAGCCGTTGTACTTATTGGTATTTTTGCAGAGGTCGAACATTGAACATTGATATGCTTTACAAATTCACGACTCCGTCCGACCATTTTAATTATAATCGCACGGATGATTTGAATACAATGCATTTTATATATTTTTATTTTCTTAATCATCGGCGATATGGTTATTTGTTATAAAATATTAATTATATTTTTTTATGATAAATACTTATTTCAAGTAATGTGTTCAAAGATTATACGCTAAGTTTAATTAGGCTAAATTTTCACTCACTCGTTTCAGGCAGAAAAAAAATTGAGGAACTGGCATTACCTGCAAGCAGAAAGAACATATAATTAAATATAAAACGAATAATTCCAATAACTTAAATAGTATCTTCTAAATGGTTAATATACAACATTAATCTTTTTAAATGTA